AAAAGCTGCAGACTATTTACCAACATCTGTACAACCGGCGATTATATGCTCCAGGACTACCATAATGTTAGATAATTATTTTGTGAAGCCCAGTCGGCCAAATACTCTAAGTGTTTTCATAAGAAAAGATTACTATTCTAAAGCACAATACTGCATACTGGTACGGTTCGTCTTTAACATAATTTTAGAAAGACCATTGCAAATGAAAGACAAATTACCTTTTAAATAAAGAAGAAATCTGAGACAATAATTTATATAGTTAAAACAGGATATACAGTATATACTAAAATGTAAAATGTAGACACACCTTATTCATCACGTATCTTTATTAGTTTAGTGATTAATATAATATGGTGACGTTATAATAATATAATATTTTTAGTGAACACACGCGTTTGTATCAGCCGCACTCATTGTTCTCCTTCCATTGTACTGTAATAACGTAATTTGAATAAAGATTTCTGAGATGTGTTGAGTTTGTAGCGTGTCAAGTTCTCGTCTATATTTTATAGATTCATGTTAGTGTAAAGACACCTAAAATAATGGCGCTACAATATATTTCTTCCAGATCATGTTTGTCTGGACGGTAAATCGTCACAAACTTTTGATCCTTATTAAAATTAGTATATAATGGTACTAGCATCATTTGATCTCCTGTGATTTGTGAACCAGTGTATGCCTGTATTGTTACTAGTATTAGTATTGCAAAAAGTTATTGTTATTCTTGTTTTTGCAGAACCTTGGTGGTACGTAGACATACAGGACTTGCATACAATTAAACATGTTGTCCTTTACAACAGAGAAAAACAACGTGAGCTTTTTTTTTTTGTAGTTTTCTATTTTAATTGACATTAGGACTATGAAGTAATAGCAGTAGTGGTGGTAATGGTAGTAGTGGTAGTAGTGAATAGTGAATGTTTTGCCCTTCAGATGGACACAAACAATGTGTCCGAAAGTTCCGGGTCTTCTATTGTAATTACTCTATTACGACGACAATGATAATGATTATGATAAGGACTGTCTCTTATACACATCTAGATGTGTATAAGAGACAGTATTTATATTTATAAGATACGTTCACACGTGCCACGCACAAAATCTGATGTCACATGCGCCTTACTATGTGAGATTGTATAAAATTATGTGAACAGGTGTGTTCTTGGCTGTAAATGTAACTTTGCAACTCTTAGTATATAGAAAGAGTTAATTGCGAATCTCACTAGATTAAATTTTTTTTCATACTACTGGTAAGGAAATGTTTGCGTTGAGGGACTAAGCCATGATATAATGCCTGTACATTTCAGTTCTGTTTCTATTATATATATTATTCTCAAGTTAATTTATACGTTGATATGTTATTAAACTTGACTGAAATAAATAATTGAACTATTATTATTATACATAATTCATATTTTTTGCGAGGATTTATAATACACCTAATTTCTTTATTATCAAACTTGATATACCTCTATGTTACCAAAGTTTGATTGGTAAAAGGAATTAATATGTTAAGAAACAATATAAAGATCCTCTTGGTATGTTGTCATTTTCAATGTATTTGTTGCCGAGCATAATATCACTGAAACGTTATAGATTTTCAAACACATTCTAAAGTTGGTTGATTGGTTATCGATTTGTACCGATACATTATTATATACTAGAATGAAATCTCATTGATATTTTTAACGTCATTATTATCTTTAAAATTATTATTATCGTTATCAGAAACACATTAACTTAAGCATGATGACACATGTTTCAAAACCTTATTCGTTTTTGTAAATATGGTATCAAATATTACAAATAGGTCTGCATGGAGATCGGATATTTAATGTTGCTTTTGAAACCAATGAGAGTTCGACTCGTTTAGGCTACCCTCCCGCATTTCCTGCCTTCGATGATGATATAGGTCCAGATCCACATGATTCAAACGGTAAAGCAGTGTGCTCTCACACTGACAACGAATATGGTATGTATAATAATATATTATAATAGCCTATTATTCATTCATTCTTTATTTATTTAGCCTTTCATAAAAATCACAATACAACTGGTACATACAGTAAGATAAAAAACAAAACAAAACTGACATTACAGAAAACTGTGTAAATCTAAGGTGCAAGGATTGATTAACAAAAGCAATTAAAATCGGTGTAGCTCACAGTAGCATACAATACATCTAATTATATGATATAAAATTTAACTCTCAGAATTTCCCAATAATTAGAAAATGAAAACAAAAGAAATATAAATTAGACTTTAAATTTATATTAACTGCATCACAAATAAATTAAATTAAAATAAGAATGAGAAGACAAAACAAAACAAAACAAAAAAAAAAAGCCATAGTCCTATAAATATAAATAGCACACGCCTAATAAGACCCGAAAGCCTAAAATAATACTTATTAGACTAGCCTGAAAATTATTCTCATGAGTGATCTCCCCCCACCCCCAAAAAAAATAAGTAAAAAAGCTGCAGACTATTTACCAACATCTGTACAACCGGCGACTATCTGCTCCAGGATTATCATAATGTTAGATAATTATTTTGTGAAGCCCAGTCGGCCAAATACTGTAAGTATTTTCATAAGAAAAGATTACTATTCTAAAGCACAATACTGCATACTGGTACGGTTCGTCTTTAACATAATTTTAGAAAGACCATTGCAAATGAAAGACAAATTACCTTTTAAATAAAGAAGAAATCTGAGACAATAATTTATATAGTTAAAACAGGATATACAGTATATACTAAAATGTAAAATGTAGACACACCTTATTCATCACGTATCTTTATTAGTTTAGTGATTAATATAATATGGTGACGTTATAATAATATAATGTTTTTAGTGAACATACGCGTTTGTATCAGCCACACTCATTGTTCTCCTTCCATTGTACTGTAATAACGTAATTTGAATAAAGATTTCTTAGATGTGTTGAGTTTGTAGAGTGTCAAGTTCTCGTCTATATTTTATAGATTCATGTTAGTGTAAAGACACCTAAAATAATGGCGCTACAATATATTTCTTCCAGATCATGTTTGTCTGGACGGTAAATCGTCACAAACTTTTGATCCTTATTAAAATTAGTATATAATGGTACTAGCATCATTTGATCTCCTGTGATTTGTGAACCAGTGTATGCCTGTATTGTTACTAGTATTAGTATTGCAAAAAGTTATTGTTATTCTTGTTTTTGCAGAACCTTGGTGGTACGTAGACATACAGGACTTGCATACAATTAAACATGTTGTCCTTTACAACAGACAAGATCAACGTGAGCTTTTTTTTTTTTATGTAGTTTTCTATTTTAATTGACATTAGGACTATGAAGTAATAGCAGTAGTGGTGGTAATGGTAGTAGTGGTAGTAGTGAATAGTGAATGTTTTGCCCTTCAGATGGACAAAAACAATGTGTCCGAAAGTTCCGGGTCTTCTATTGTAATTACTATATTACGACGACAATGATAATGATTATGATAAGGATGACTACTTCGATTTATTTTTCAGCTGGACGCCTAGAAGGTGCTCAAGTAAGAGTTGGAAAAAGTAAAAACAATTTAAAGCTAAATACCGCATGTGGGCCGCCTGTATCAGAGGATGATGCCAGTGTAGCAGCCGGAATCATAACATTAAGATGTGAACCTGGAACTATCGGAAACATTGTGTCTGTCCAGCTGGAGAACAGAACACAATTTTTGGCATTATGTGAAGTGATATTATATGGGACAATATACACAGGTAATGCCTGTAATTATAATATAATGATTGGTGAAATTATGTTTTAGATAATTTTGATATAATAAAATGTTATTTTATAAATGTTATAAACATGTTAATACTAATTTGCGTTCATTCTAGTTAAGTACGTCATTCTAGTACTATTTCATATTGAACTTCAGAATATTTAACGACAATAGTAGTGGAGCAAACTGAACGAGCAGTTACATTGCCGTCGTGTAAGTACTGTAGATAGGCTATAAAACAATCTTGACATTAATATATACACAATAAAACCAGTAACATTATAACCAGTAACACAATTATTAAATTGTCACATATAATTGTCATTATGGATCTGCCTTAATGGACCACTGGGGCGGATGCAGGATGTGGCAGTAGTGGGTGCGTGCAGAAATTTAAGGAAATAATAGCTGTAGATGGCCGGAAATGACCTTTTTTGTAGTAACATTTTATCATCACAACACCATTATGTAGACAAAGGTATCAGCGATTTTTGGCAACAACTAAAATCTAATTAGTATGTGTAATGTATACGTAAAACCTAAAATCATTCTCTTTGATGTATTTACTTTACCTACTTCAAAGCCGTGAGCCCAAAACCACCTCAGCCCCACCATGGTTGGGACCGAGGTGAGAAAATATGAGGAAATAATACCTTTAGATGGTCGGAAATGACACTTTTATACAGTTAAATTTACCATTATCACACCATTATATTTAGTCTAGAAGAAGCGCCAGCAAATTTCTCATGATCTTTAATCAGGGATTGTCGGCAACAACAGAGATCCAAATAATACGAGTGATGTACCATAGAAAATAAAACTAAAGAAACACTTTCTATGATGTAATTAATATAGGCCTACTCGACCTACGTCAAAGCCATGTGGCCACACACACCTCAGTCCCACCATTGTTGGGGCTGAGGTGAGAAAATTTTAGGAAATAGTACCTCAAGATGGCCGGAAATGACACTTTTAAATAGTAAAATTCATCAACATCACATCACCATTATAATATAGTCAAAATAAAGCGCCAACAAATTCTCATGATCATTTATTAGCTATTTTCGGCAACCAAAGAGATCTAATTAGTATGTGTGATGTACGTTACCATAGAAAGTAAAACGTAAAAACATTGTCTTTGATGTATTTACTTTACTTTACTTCAAAACTGTGAATCCACATGTCTCTCAGTGCCTCCCCTGGACGTTTAACCCTTCCTCCATGATCTGCGCCCATGGGTGCGTGAGAGTCCACCACCTCAGCCCGAACATTGTTGGGGCTGAGGTGCGAAAATTTTGAGTATATGGACCTCTGGGTGCCTGGCAATTGTACTCTCATGTACCTTAAATTCTTACCAATAATTCGTATCAACAATATAATACAAAAATGATTTCTTAATACAATTTAGCACCCCCTGCATCTGCCCCAGGGACCCCACATGATTCTCCACCAAAATCCCAGGTGGGACTTCATTAGTTCAATCCTAGCCCAAGTAAAACCCTATGGGGACAACACCGCACCCATAATAGTTATGCAATATTATTGGACATACTGTAATACTTATGCTTGACAGAAAACGTATACAGTTACTATTATACGTTTTCTGGAATAGTTATAGTAAAACACAAACATTTTCCGGATACATTTCATAGCATCACGTACATATTGGTACGCATTATATTCGTACTTGTAGAACTGTAATATTATTTGCAAACAATACAGCATAGCAACGTATCTCCATTGATTATATTTATTTTTTTGTTGAACATTCAACATACAGTTATAGACATATTGTACAACTGCTTTATATTTTAATAGCCTGAGTGCAGTAGGAAATTAGCGGGAAAAAAGTAAAGGAAAATTTATTTTTGGTTTTTCTCAATCGGTATATCATATAGTGTCTCAGAAAAAAAATCCCCATTCTTAGAGCTTGGGCAATTTTTTTTATAGCACTTTGAAGTTTTGACATAAAATATCCTATTTTGGGCTAATTAAGATGGGGGTAGGGGAAATAAATGTATGTTTTTAGTCACTTTTAAATATGCTATGTATATCAAATATAACAAGAACTTGGCTAAATTGTTACTCCTCACCCTCGTTAAAAAATTTAATCAGAATTGTGACGTCATCACAAAAAATTCCAAGATGGCTGCCATTTTGGCGGTAAAACTCTTTTAAAATGTAAATTTAACTTTATTGTTATCAGAGCAATTTCAAAACAATATATATCCATACACACAAACACACA